CTGATCACGGGTGAGTTATTGATAGCCTTGGACCCTCTGAATTCACTGTCACAAAATCACACAACCACTGGGGTTGGAAGGGACCTTTTGTAGATCATCTAGCCCAACTTTCCATGCTCTGCTGTCACTTCAGTTCTGTACTCCTTTTGTCTGCAACTTATAAGGTCATAGACAGTTCTACATGCCAGAGTAGCTAGATGCTATTCAACATAGCACAGTGTAAGTACTAGTTATTGCTTTATATATCAAAATTCTTAACACATTACACAGCACAGTTATACAAAGCTAAACAAAACTAAAACGTGTTAAGTAATTGTCACCTTGTCATTAGCCAGTTGCTATACCAGCTAAAAAAGTTAAAACAAAGCTCCAAGAAAGCCAAGATAAGCCCAAAGTAAGCCTTACAGCCCTAGTCCTCCATGTGAAGTTAATACAAGACCTGTGGCTGGTAACAGGCATGGTGATACTGTCTTTACTGGATTATAAGGCTGCATAATAAATTGTAATGTAGTCAATACAATCAATGCAGTGTGGAAAACTATTCAGCTCACCAGAATCGTTTAGTTAAAATTGTAACATCAGGCATATGTAAAAGGCTACCTTGATTATTATCTTTACTGCTGAAACTTTATAACTTCAATACTTTCTAAAACATTTTTATTAGATATGAAATTAGGTGTGAAAGTCTGCTCTAAGTAGTTGGTAATTTTGTGTGTCAAATCTAAAAGATACCAGAGAATGGATGGACCTGTTTATACACATGAAGGGTTTAAGATTTTACTGAAAATTTTACTCTCATTTTTTTTCAAGTAAATGTCAGCTTCCAGCCTTAAAGCCTGTTTTCATTCTCCTCATCTTTTCTGGAAACAACTTCTTCATGAAAGATTACAAATAAAACAAGTTTTAAAATAAAGTCTTATGAAAACTTCCTTAAAAATTGCATTAATTAAGAGATATATAGCATTTCTGGAATATAGTTTTCTCTGACTTTCTGTCCTCATTAGGGCAATTGATCCCAAATTACTAGCAGTAACTACAGTAGTTCTATCAAAAGGAAAAAATGAACATAAGGTGAAGATTTTCCTACTGACTAGTAAAGCCTTAAGTGAATGACATAAGCGAGTTGCATAGTAGGGAGGGGGATTTTGCTTCTGTGATCTTCTTTATTTTCTTTTTATTGTGTTTTCAAAGGGGGATGATTTCAAGGAAAGAGGAACGTCTTTTACTTGTCTTTATATGCAGAGGAATGTAGCACATAATTCTGATTCAGAACAAAGACTCTTGCCCAGTTGAAAGGAGAGTTTGCATATTTTGCCATTGTGATGTGAATTGTGACTGAAGCACTGATTAAGCTGCATGCAATAATGAGGAAAAATAAACCAGACAAAGAAAAGAATTACTGAGCTTTTAGCCACTTACTCCAGTTTTTTGTGACTTGATAATTTGTTTATTGCCATAATTATTTAATATTCTACTTTAAGATCCTAGTTTACATATTAACTCTTTCTGTTGTAATGTCGGTCTGCATTTCTGTTGGGGAAAAAAAAAAGCAAGGCAAAACCATTCATTCTTATGAATTTCAATCTCAGATCTAGAAATGGTCTGTCTTTCTTTGGTTTCAACAGCAAGATGTTGCTAAATCAATCTGGAAAGGCGTTACTTCATTTTGCATAGCTTCTCTATAAGAACCAGGTCTTTGGGGGCTTGGTGGAAGAAAGAGATTCAATAAATTGTCCATATTTTCTATACCCAAGTATCTACAGGCTCTTTCTGTCACTTGGTTACTATTTTAGTAACTATTTTAGTTACTATTTTAGTAACCAAGGCTCCAGATGAAATTCTTGTGGAATATTTTTAGAAATGCAATTTCCCAAGCCTCTGACCTTCCTGTGCATCCTGCTCCTGCCAGACGAGAGAGGTCTTCATACTCTGTCTTTGTTTAGAAGGACCTACACAAAAGCCAGTTTTGGTGATCCCAAAACTCTTAATGATTGAGTTCATCTTATTGACCCAACAAGAAACTCTGAATTTTATTTTTACTGCGTTTATTTTGTGCCATTGGAGTCAGTTCCCAGATGCAGAAGCAGCCGGAGGTAAATGATGTGTAAGTCCTTTTGCGAATAGGGGAAGGGAACAGGCAGTTTTGATTGACTCCTTAATCAGCTTATCCCATCTGTTATTTCATTATCAGCCTTAGCCAATGTAAGACTTCTGCCACCAAAATGCAGTATGCTTGCTCTGCCTCCAGATGATGTGTGCATTTGTATCCTCTGTGGTGGTGCTTACAGAGTTACGCCATCAGCCACATTGATGGGGCTGAAAACTAACCCTTGGGGAGGGAAGGGGGGGGGGGGGGGGGGGAAGGGACTTACTGGTCCAGCTGAATGTGCACCTGCATTGGTAGGGAGAGCTGGCACAAGGGAAGAGTGGGCCATGCAGTGGTTAACACGCCTTCCCCCTTTTGACAGCAGTGCAGTCTGTGAGAATACTCCATACAGATGGCATTTTCAAAGATTTATATATTCTCACCAATGTCATCAGTTAAAGCTTCCTTGAGAACCATATTATAGCGGTTCAATAATTTCTACAAATCACACTTTTAAGGACTATCTAAGGACAAATTCCCATATTTGCAGGTGGAACCAAGCCATAGTTCACATTTTTAACCTACACACAGTGTCCATAAGAAAGCAAGCCACATAAAACCACTGTTATTAAGTGGCTGAGAGATGGAAATGGGTGGAATTAATTTTTTTTCTCTGAAAAGTGGGGATGGAGGAAGGGGAACAACTTGGAGTGTTAATTTGTTCAGGTGAAATCCTGATGGAATTGGCAGAAGGAAATTACTTTCAGAGCCCTAAGAAATCTTCTGTGATGTGTAATTCATATTTTCTGGCCTGCTAAAGAAATGGCATAACATAGGAACATATTAACTCTTGAGGAGGATGTCATTGCATGTCTATTTAAGGAGAGAGGATTTACAATAAGGTCTTTACTCACTAAAACCTGAGGTAGAGGAAGCATCTCCATACGTGATCAGCAATTTAGGTATTAAAAGAAGGAAGGAACTTAATTCTGAAACTTTATTTTTAATGGCCTCTCTCTGGATGAGAATAATCGTGTATTTTAGTATTGGATTTATGAGAGCAGAAAGAAATACTTTGCTTTTTGTCATTCATCCATTTTTCCCAAGGTTATGAAAATTTGTAAATATTTCTCCACCCTCCTGCTCTGCTTCAGTGCTTTTCATCTTGCTTGGCAGTTGTTGCTACTTACTTTTACATTTACTCCATGTTCCACTTCTACTGTTGGCGGACATGCTGGCTACAACAGTGACTTCTAATAGTAGTTAACTTTCAGAGTGGCATTTGCCAGAACATAAAAGTCTTTTACAGTTATATAAATTAAATGAAGCAAAACCTTTGGCGGGGAGAAATAGGTACCATGGAACTATTCATAAAGTATGAATTTATACAACATTTTGAATTGATGTTTGATTTACAAAGTCTAAAAAAGAGCAAAAGATTAAATGGATTTGTATAACTATTATAAATATTTGTCCAATATACCAATGTGTTTACTATGTGTGAAGTATTTAGCAATGATGCCAAATCTTTCACTTTAATTTTACAGGCTTGCAATTGTTTAGCCAAATTTTCTTTCTTAGGCTGCATTTTTCTAGGGCATCTGGCCAAAAATCATTCAACACATTCAGAAAACATTGCTTGTGTAAATTGACAGTATTTGAAAAGAAAACTGACCCCTTTCAAATAGGTCAAGTGAATGTTGGACTGCTGTAAGAAGTTTAAATATACAGTGAAAATGGAATTGCAAGATAGTCTAGAGAGAAAGACAACATATAAAAAATGCATGGATAAGGAGGAGATGGTGTACATGAGTCTTTTGACAGATTCACAGGAGTTAGAGGAGCCTGGAGACAAATTTATGGCCCTCACGTAGGGCAGACACTGCAGTGGAACAGATTTCGGGAGTACTCAGAACTTACGCAGACCTTTGCAGAACTCGGTCCAGGAATCTTAACTAGGAATTAAAACCAGGATTTCCAGATGATGGAGGCAGAACCAGCTGTGTTCCTACACAGGAAATATTATTGGCAGTTATTCTCCTGGAGGAAGGCCTTTTAAAAGGGTTCTTCATACCAATTCAGTGAAGACAGAGTTGCAATGCTGGTATGGATTCCCCTGATAATGTCTGGCATTGTTACTGTGCAATTCTGTTCCAGGAATGAACACTGGTAGCATGAGTTCTCAATGCTTTGATTCTGGGTGAAAAGGTTATAAAGGCAATAAAGACCATGGGAAAAAAGTGCTGAATTTTCACACTTGAGTGACCACCAATATAAAGGGTTGTGGCTTTGCTTGTGTTTATAAGCCTGTTTTCATTTCAAAGGGGTTTGATACATGTAACTGGGATTGGAGTTTGTCTCCAAATATCATTTTAAGAATTATGCTGCATCAGTGATCTGACAATGCACTGGAAAGGTTAAATTGAGTGCAGATCATTTAGCTTTGGTATGATGGTTCATTTCAAGTGATATAAGTTATGAACACGTTTCAGTTATTTACTGAAAAAGCCAGCAAATCTTATGGGAACTCTACAAAGTGAAATAAAACCAGTTGACTGTGATTTTGCTCCCAAAGGAACTAATCAGGTGATTGTGACCTTGAGACAAGGTCTTTCCTCCAGCTCTCCCTTCCCTTCTCCTATGTACAGAACTGACATGCTCCTCTGTCCCCTTGAGAAGTCCTTGTTGCTGTTCATATTTAACATCATTATCAAAGGTCCTTTGCTTCCAGGCTTAGCCATTAAAACAGATGAGATGGGAAATGCTGACATGATAGTTTTGCAAATGTTATCTGAGAGGTTTGCATGTATTATTAAGTCTCTTAATGAAGATGGTGAAGAATCAGCCTATTAACAGCTCAGAATTAGGTATATTGCTGCATTAATTCTTATTCCTCTTTTCTTTGATATTTCAGTGCTACGGCTATTGAAGGATGGTGCCGACCCTCATATGCTTGTTTCCTCAGGAGGCTCCTTGCTCCATCTGGTAAGAGTGATTGAAGATTAGTGTTAGTGACTGTGGATAAATACAGTGGGATAGTGAGTAGCAGATTGGGCATATTAACAAAAAGAAAGGCTTAGCAATGATTTGTTATCCACACTGCCCTCCACGGTGGTTATGATTGCATCCAGCTATGCGTGTGAAATAAATAGTTGTTTTTAAATTGCTTACGAAAGGATGGATCATGTCATAGGAATGGTAACTAACAAAGTAGAATGAAAGGCTTTATTTATAAATTATCTGTGCAGTAAGAAAGAACAAAGGAAATATTGCTTGATTCTGAAGACAGAATTATATATTATATATGGTTCAGAAATTCACAGGTCCTATATGAAAAACACCATGATGTAACATATTTCCATTTGGTTTTGTGCACATTTTCTTGCACCAATTTCCAACACATGGATATTTAACACATTATCTGCATTAAGTTTATCATTATTTGCATAGCAATTTAGATTAGGTAATTGGGAGATAAAAGGAAAACAGCTATATACAATGACCAAAAGAGAAGAAAGATATAAGAGCATGTGGATGCAAGACTGACAGGCAGACAAACAGAAAGAAAATACTGCAGAGGTAAAATTTTGGCTTTGCTGAAACCAATGGCAAAACTCATCACAAATTCCTAAGTCTTTTGATCCTTTACTTTGGTGTGTGATGCTTCAGTTGCAAGCATGCTTTCTATTCAATGTGAAACTATTTTAAGATATTTGAATCCAACTTTATTGCACAATGCTGCTAAAATAAATGTGACTTTGCAAATACTAGGCCATAACAAATCTAGTGAAAAGTTTGCTGGCATAGTGTTTCATTTTAGAACAGTTGGGTTAGGTTTCTTACAGTATGTACACAAAATAGAGTGATTTCTTGATGAAAAAAAGGATCCTATAATACTACTGGACTCCAGCACACCTGCAATGATGCTGTTGCAAGATGTAGCATTTCCCTTATGTAATTATCTGTGTTTTCCATCTTCCATGGCCATGCTGCTTACCAAGGACTTCGGGAAATAGTGGCCTATGTAAGGGGAGGGTGCGGTAATGAGTTGAAACAGAGAAAGTTTAAGTTCTCTTTTCTCTTCTTCAACTATTTGCTGCAAAGTTGCTCAATCACTCTTTAAAAATGCAGCCCATATGAGATGTTCTTTTGGGATTCCCAAAACCGAGGCATCCCAAATCCTATCCTGTGCTGAAAGCCCTAGGAGACAATCTGTATCTTCAGTGTGGTTGATGTGACATCTGTTTCACTGGCATTTTAAAATAGAAGAAAGAAAAGTCCATCTTTAGGCACTTTAGGTTGCTTTGTCCAGTTCAGCTGATGCACTCTTTTTAACTGTAGATAAAATCTGTGGTTGAACTGTTGCTTTTTAGGTTTCTTGATCTTCTGCATCACACCCCAATTCACTGTCACAACCAGTCTCTCTCCACTGATGCCTGCTGCTTCACAGGCACACATATGCTTCAAAAGGAGGGAAAGCTTCCTGCAGTAAGAAATTTGCAATAGAGAACTGTGTGTAACCTACTGCCTCAGTTTAGTCAGAGTTAATTCTAAGTATTTATAATTCATTTACAAGAAAATGCTGGTCCTACTGGAGATAGGGGCAAACCTGATTTAAATGAAACTTGGATTTGACCCCGATTTGGGAAACAGTACAGATAGGTGAGGAGAGTTGTGATATGGGGAAACAGATAAGCCAATTTTATTTTCCTGCAAGAACTGAAATAGTAATTTAGCATATATCTTTATTATATTTTTAAAGCCCACCCAGATCCATTCTAAGTACTAGTACTACCTTACTTACTAAGTACTTAGTACTAGTACTACCACTATAATTCCATGTAAGTTGCTTTCTCCAATGGGGATCCTAATCAGTGTTTATTCTTTCCAGTTGCAGGGTAAAATTTTTTGTTCCAGAATGAATGGAAAATATATTTATCTTCACATTTTACTTAAAATCTGATTTGTGATATAATTCCTTTTTCTTTTTTCATTTCTGTTAACTTCCAAAATGTGATATATTTCTAAAAAAAACCCAATCAAATATGACACTTCATAAAGATTCTGTTGTTGTCTCTGTAGACAGTATTCCAATATGGTTGAATCTCAGGGAAGCCACAGGAACTTCAAAGGTATTCACTGAACTCTCATTAAATCCATGAGGGGAGAAGTACAAAAAAAGAGAGTATGTGCCTGAGTTGCCCATTCATTGCTTCTCTTTTGGTCATTGTATACAGCTGTTTTCCTTTTATCTCCCAATTACCTAATCTAATACAGATACCACATACTGTGGTATCAATTTATACAAGCAACCACCCAACCCGGGCTAGTAACGAAGTATATGAGCACCAGTTTTCTCCTGGAACTTTCACTGAGATTGCCCAATTGCTTCACAAAATCCATTAAACAAGAATCAAGGAGCAGCGGCAATTAAATTCCTGCTACAAATCTAGACTGTTTTCAACTGGTAACTAATCACAAAAGACTCTGTATCTATTATTAATACACAAAATAGCTCAGTGACATCTGTCATCTGTTTTGTATGGAAGTTGTCTAGAACATTTTTTGCTTACCAATGCCTTGAAAATGTGACTGGTATGAGATTATGTTGATATGTATTATAAAATGTCTTATCTCTAATTTGTTAAAATTTGAACATTGAACAGCTCAATGTAAACTATACTACTGATATAATGAGTGATACTTATGCAACAAAACAAAATTTCTGTTTCTAGAGCTGTCAGGTTAGTTAAGAGCTAAAGGAAATAGATCAGAACTTAATTTCTGTTCTATGATTTAATGGTCAGTATGTTTGAAAATCATTTAGAGCAGGGCTGCTTTTTAGCCTGATAGAGTTTAATTTTCATCTTCTGAGTTATCTGTATTTATGATCACAGTAATACACACAGCTCCTACATTCAGTTGAGTAGCTCAGCTATGTCTTGACTTCACAGTGGAATCCAGTTAAGCACTTTTCCTTCTTCCCCTTTTCCTCTAGTGTCCTGGCTTCCATGCCAGGTTAATACAGGTCAGCAAACTGGTTGCCATGGTATGGTTCCACATGCAATAAAGATATAACAACATAATTATTTAACCCTCATTTGCAAATTATCTGCAGATTTCATTATATTTGTACTCTCAGTGTATATGTGTGCTTTTTGGGATAAGGAAATATTATACAACTTTCAATATTGGAAGAGGCATAACTATTAAGGATTGTGTTCAAAGCATCTGCTGTCTAATACAGAAAATTAGTCTCCTTGTAACCTCTCTCCAGTGGGAAAAGAGAGATGATCCTTCTCTAAAGAATTACTGAGATTGTATGTTAGGGCAGAGTTAGGATCTTAACTTAGGTGTCCTGATTGTCTTTTAAAGTATTATCCATGAGCACATCCATAAAAAGTCACAGATGTGACAGAGGAGTAGGCTCAAAACAATGGCTAAGCCAGTTTCTTCTTCTTTGCCAACCTCCGTCATCGAAACAAAGTATAGAAACACACACACGTGTGCAGCTCCCCTGCTCTCAACACACTCTTAGTATGTGTAGTATTTATCTGTCAGAGGGGCTTGAATAGGAATTAGTATAGTTAGTGGATTGGAAATACGAGTGGGTATGGAGAGGCGTGTATTATTGCTATGAACTGCATAAAAGACAGAAGTTCATGTACATGTGGACATATGTATGTGTGGGTGTACATATACTTAGACGCCACTACTCATGATGTGATCATCATGCACTGATGCCTGTGCACTGATTTGGAATGACAATATTGAACAGAAAGGAAACCTCTTCTTTACTGTAGATTTCAGTAGATTTCACGTAGTGCTTTTTTCACAGGGAATAAGGGATTCTGTGAATCATGCACATGGAACTTGTAGTCTCCACAAAACTTTTTCTATAGGTTCATCAGCTGTTATCCCCTACAAACACAGCAGTTTAACTACAGTGCTTCATCCACTCAATTTAAATGTTAAGTGGAGCAAAAGTTGTATGTAATAAATTCAGTTGTACACTGAGTAAAACACCATCCCTAATCTGCTCTTCTTTCTTCTAGTGTGCCCGCTACGATAATGCATTTGCTGCAGAAATTCTCATTGACAGAGGAGTAAATGTAAATCATCAAGATGAAGATTTTTGGACATCAATGCATGTAGCCTGTGCCTGTGATAATCCTGATATTGTACTGCTACTGCTACTAGTAAGTAAAGCAATCCAATGCATTGTGTGCTTGAAAAGGAAACAGAATGTAACACCATAATGTCTGAAACTTCTGTATGAATGCAATATATTACTGCTAATCATATCAGTGAAAGCTATGTTGTGTTTGTTTGTTTCTTGACATTGTTTTGGTTCTCAGGATTTTTAGGCAGCATTTTTAGGCCTTCAATGAGAATAGAGCACAAAAGTCAATGTCAAGTATCTCTTATCTCTTCCGTGTGGACAGGAGCTTGTATGTCTGATAAGCACTCAGTCCCAAATGGGATATTTGGATAATTTCTCTTCTCCTTGTCACTTTCTGTTAAGGGTTGAGTTCACAGACAATCTCATTAAAAATACTTTCTTAAAAGCAAGTATTCAGTCAATTACACTCAGTATTCATGAAGAAGTGTTTGTAGATGTGGTAAAAATGAGACCAATTTAATATTTATCTAAATAATTTTAAATTTTTGAAGCAAAGTTTGCCCAATATAGTAGTAGATATGGCATTCAGCCTTTGTAGAGAACAGCTTTGTTCATGTTGTACTTCCATTCCTAGGATCAGAGCCTCTAGTTTTACACCATGATATTAATGCAGCTCTTTCTTCTGGTTCATTTTATATTTCTCTTTAAAACAATAGTGCAGAAACAGTTCACAACCTGACTTATGGTTTTCTAATCTATTGTATAGTTTTAAAATTTGTATGTTTTTAGTACGTCGTTGCAAGTAGATCAGCATTTCTTAGCATACTTACAAAGGTATTTCAATGTTATAGGTAAAATGAAGGGAGAAATATTTTTAAAGATGGTATACTTGATAATAGCTTTCATGAAATCACTTTGGGAGATTATCTAGTCCAATCCCCCTGCTCAGACCAAAGCCGGCTACAGCAGCTTGCCCAGGACCATATCTCCAAGGATGCAAACTCCACAAACTCTGGGCAACGTGCACAGAAAAAAAAGGTTTTTATTAGGTTTAAACAGAATTTCCTGTATTTCAGTTTGTGCCTATTTTCTTTTGTCCTTTCACTGAACAACACTGAGAAGAGTCTGGCTCCATCTTCTTTACTACCCCCATGGGGTATTTACATATGCTGGTAAGACCTGCTTGAGCCTTTTCTTCTCAAGGCTGAAGAGTCCCAGCTCCCTCAGCCTCTCCTTATATGACAGATGCTCCAGTCTCTTCATCATCTTTGTAGCCTCTTTGCAGGACTCACTCCAGTATGTCCATGTGTTTCTTTTACTGGGGAGCCTGCAACTGGCACCTCACCAGTGGTGGGCTCTCACCAGTGCCTAGACCTGCTGGCAATGAAGTCCAAGAAATCTATGGCCCTTTTTAATACAAGGGCACATTGCTTGCTCATGATCAACTAGTTGTCCACCAGGTCTTCATGTTTCTCTGGCTGAGACAAGATAGTGACTTGTCATTCATCAGCTTAGCTGTGGTAACTCACTATTTCTATCCTCTGGTAGATAGCAAAGACAAAAGTCATTTGTTAGCTGAAATGTCTTTCACTGAGAGCTAGGAGGGGCTCTAGCTGTTTGTAATGTGATGATCTGCTATCATCTCCTGTTGGAAGACTATTGGAATTGTGGGCACTGTTTTTGGAATAAACGCAGAATGAAATGCTAGAAGCTATTTCTTGCCATCCCAACATTTTACTCAAGGTGGTGTAGCTTTCCAGGGACATATTTATGTCTTCTCCACTTGTAGCTGTCAGCAAGGAGTGTGGGGTGGGGGGAGCGGGCACTGAACAGCATAGCCGGGAAATATATCCCATATCTGCTAAATAGCCAGCCAGAGAAGGACTTGCCCCCGAGGCAGCTGCTAGCACATCAGGAAATGTACAGATCAAAGGTAATCCATAGAGGTCTGGTTGCCATACATGCAAATGAGGGGGTAAAGGTCAGTTTCATCAATCGTAGCCTGACCGCATCAGTGTTGGGCGTTTTCCCCTTGGGATAGGGGACTGTTTCTGTGGATGTTGTATGAAGGTGGCTCCTGTAGCAGGTTGAGGAGAGTACTGGAGTGCCTTTCATATAAGAACAAAGATGCATAGGCTTGTGTACATTTGTGCCCACATGAAATCTCCAAAAGAGTATGAAAAGCAACCAGATTTATTAGAAGTATCTTCTCTGTCTTGACTCACTGCCTTTTGAAAGCTCAGGACTGGATGGGCTGACAGCAGTTCTGTCCAGCTGGGGTGTGTTCCTTTTCTATCATCTCTGGACACATTGCAGTGTTGTATTTTGCATTAGTTTCCTGTATTTGTTTTTATATTGAATTGAAACACTAGCTAAGATTTGTAACTTAATTTCCAAAGTGCTTTGTCCTACTGAAAATGCTACCTGAGTTACAGAATGTGCAGGCACTGGTACTTGGATGCTGCTCATGCTTTGTTAGCTGGACGAAAGTGTTTAGTCCACTCTGTATCACTTTAAATGTCTGTAGCTTTAAACTGATACCCATCACTTGCAGTCTAATTGTTCCTCCACAATATACACTTCCTAGCTTCAAATAGTTACAGTTGATACGTAAGAGTGTTTAACCTTCACTTTACTTGTATACTATTCCAATTACCATCTGATATAGTAATATTAATACTGTTGCAATTTAGCAAATTAACCTTAGCTACTCAGGTAGTAGGATATATAGATAAAAATATCACTTTGTAGAACCTTTTTCTCTTAATTTTTCTTCAGTCTGACAGCATTATTTATTATAATGAATTCTCTGCTCTAAGAATCAGCACCGGATCATTAAAAAGGCAAAAGAGGTCAAGCTGTTGAGCTCCTCTCCTCTGTTCCTTCACCCCAAAGCATTTGAAAATTAAATGGAAAAAAATATAACTGCTCAAATTCTGATTCATGTCTCTGTAATTTCATTATATATTTAGTTGGATCCTGACCCACTGTTCTCTCTCTGTTTTTGAAACATGGTGTTTAGGTACTTATGAAAAGATTCACAATCATATTGAGCTCCTATGTTTAGTTCCTTCTCTCAAGATAACTATGCTTGTGTTGTGAACTACAGGTTTCTTTATGACTTACTGTTACACTTTCAGAGCATGTCACAGGTAATTCATCACTGAGCTGTACTGTTGGGTTCACGCTTAATAAGTTGATAGTTACGAGTTTTCTTTTTTAATGTATCTTTGGGTTTGGGTGGTTCTTTTCCCTCTTTCCCACTCCCAAAAAGTCATGGAATCTTTTGATGTTGACTGACCTAAGGCTGAGAGCAGCAGAGAAAATGAAAGTAGGTGAGAATGCGTTTTCATAGTGTAATTCACTTTATTTTAGCATCATCAGGAGGCACCTTTTAGGGGGCAACGTGAATGTAATGTTTTCACCCTCTGTGAAATCTGCAGATCTTGTCAAATGAAACTAGGAAGGCAGAGACAGTATTCTAGTGTTTGTGCAGCACTTTGCACAGTGGAGATTTAATCTTTCATAGACCTGAAAGCATTAATGTAATAAACCTGGCAGTTAATTAACTAGAATGGCAGAGACTAGAACTACATCCTCAGGAATTTTTACATGTAGATAAAGGAAAATTGAGGACTAAAAAGACATTCTTAATAGATTTTTTTTTTTTTTTTTTTTAACTGACCTTACTAGGAAAAGCATTTGTAACTACTGTCTGCCAACCAATTAAATGTGTTTCATCATGTGCTTTTTGGAACCTAGAATTAAAGCACAAGATGCAGTTCTGGCATAGAAGGCTGAAAGTACAATTGTTAAAAAAAAATGAGGCTGAATATTTTTTTTTCCTCCTCCTCTTTTAAGAACTTAGGATAATCTGTGGTCAGCAGTGTGCAAAAGGGAGCTATGCTTGAATCATTCATTAGATTTACAGTCACCAACAGTAGATGAGCAGTGTTAGAGTATTAGAACAGTATAACGCTATCCGCTGTATGTATAAGCCAAATTTGCTGATCCACCTCTGCAAAATTCTTTATGCCATCAGAATAAACCATATGATATTAATGGAACATTAAAAATCAAATAGAAGGAATATAGAGAATACCAGATACTTTCAGTAAGACTGGAATATGGTTTGTCCTTTGAAGACCTTAATATAGTATTACTTAATATTTCCACAGTTCAGACAATAATTTTTAGACAAACGATAGCATCACAGTATCGACCTCTCACTATTTCATATAGAGAGATTTGGAAAAAAAAGAGTTTAGTATAGGATTTATTTTTGTATAACATTAAAAGACCATCTTTAAATGGATCTGTGATTTTGGAGTTAGTTTTAGAAGTATTGGACCCAATTAATTTATTTGATTCATGAGTGTCAACTTTGTTGAACTGAAATTGAAAACAATTTTTCATTCATGCTGTATTTTTTAGCTAGATTGACTGGATGTAATTTTAGAGCCTATCAAGTAACTTCAGGACCAGCGTCTTACTGAGAACTAGACTATACTTAGAGGAATTTTTGGTAGAAGACAGTGAGAAAGTACCAAGAAATACTGCATAAACATTTTAGCCAAAATGTTCATGCTGGTAAAATGTGAGGAATGTAATCAAACCCCATGCTGAGGTTCCAGCTTGGGACTTGTATTTTTTTTTTTTTCTTCTTATAAGCCACATAGCTTTATCTTACCTTTATCAACTCTGTCTGTTCCTGCTCTGTCTTTTTGTAGCCTGGCCTGTTGCTCAAAGTGTAGGTCTGTGATGTACTCCTTCAAGCGCTTGTGATAATTAGGATGTCCATGTTATCTAGAAATTTATGTTTTTCTTTGTCCTCATTTTCTTGGGCTCTCAAATTATTGCTAGAGATATTGAGAAGGATTTTGGTGCAATATGGTGTTAGTAGGAGGTGCTGGGTATTTTAGAACACTGCAACAAAAACAGAGTATGTGGAGTGTGGAGCATACTAGGAAAGAGGTGGGATGAACGGTGGATTTCACAGTCCTCATCTCATTACAAGGAGCCAAGATACTAGAAAAGTAGTATTTAAGGCCCTGCAAGGGTTGATAGTGGTTTCTGCTTCCTCAGCTTGTGCTTGAGATACCACATGCCTTATAGGCCATGTGT